CGCCCCCGGCCCCGCCCCCGCGGTACTCACTCCTGGAGCAGCAGGTCCTTGAAGTGGATCATCTCCACCATGACGCGGATGTTGTCCTGGGCGGCGGCGCACAGGTCGTGCTTGAGGTAGCACTCGCGCTGCAGCTGGAACACCATCTCCTTGATGGCCGGACACTTGCGGCTGATGCAGCCGAACCGGTGGCGCAGGGCGTGGGCCTTGCACCGGAGCGCGTCCTTGATGAAGGACTTGCCCTGCGGAACGCGCGAGGGGAGAGGGGCTGGGATGCATGCGCGCGCACACGCACGCACAGACACACGTACGCACACACACGCGCGCGCACACACAGACACACCCAGGGCCCAGGCGCTGTCCTTACCCTTTCTCATCCCGAAGGCTGGCGCTCTACCACTTGCACCACAACTCCACTTTTGGCTTTTTTGTGACTCATGGGAGAGGAAATCTCAAGAGTATCCTGCATAGGCTGGCTTTGAACCCCCGATCCTTAGATCTCCAGCCTCCTGATCCGTTAGAATGGCAGATGTAAACCATTGAAATCCAAATTGGATTGGTTTTTTTTGATCAGTTGTGGGGCTTGAACTCGGGGACTAGGCGTTGTCCCTGAGCCTGTTTGCTGAAGGTTAGCACTTTACTACCTGGCCCACAGCTCTACTTCTGGTCCTTGAACTCAGGGCCTGGGCGCTGTCCCTGAGCTCTACCACTTGCGTTAGCGCTCTACCACTTGGGCCACAAGCGCCATTTCTGGCTTTTTCTGTGTCTGTGGTACTGAGGAATCGAACCCAGGGCTTCATGCATGCTAGGCCAGCGCTCTACCACTGAGCCACCTTCTCAGCAAGCTCAAAGTGGAGCTGTGGTTGAAATGGTCGAGCACCAGCCTTGATCGAAAAAAAAGGTAAGGGACAACACTCAAGTGCTGAATTCAAATCCCAGGACTGACACAGAGCTAGGAGGGCTCGGTCTTTGTGCCCCAAGTTCACGCCTGTCTCTACCCATCCTCTGAGGGGGGGGGGCAGTCTTTGCCTTATTGGAGATAATTGTCTCACGGGGGCTGGGAAGGTGGCTCAGTGGTAGAGCGCTTGCCTTGCATGCATGAGGCCCTGGGTTTGATTCCTCAGCACCACATAAGCAGAAAAAGCCAGAAGTGGGGCTGTGGCTCAAGTGGTAGAGCACTAGCCTTGAGCTGAAGAGCTGGGGGACAGCACCCAGACCCAGAATTCAGGCCCCCATGACCAACCAAAAAAAAAAAAAGTCTCATGGGCTTTTCTGCCTGAACTGGCTTCAAACTGTGATCCTCAGATCTCAGCCTCCTGAGCAGCTAGGATGACAGGTGAGTGCCTGCCCCTGACACATTTATTACATATGGCAAAAGGAAAATATGGAATGTGAGACCCAGTTATGATTTTTGAATTTTTAGACTTGGAGACAAGAGTCTGCTAACTGAGAAATAATTAACGTTCTCCAAGAGAGGCTGACGCATGATGAAGTTGATCTTTTGTTTTCCTTTGGTGCCAGTACTGGGGCTTGAACTCAGGGCCTGTCCTCTGAGCTTTCTTTTCAAGGTTGCAGTTCTACCACTTTTTGCTGGTTCACTGGTGATACCCATCGCTTGAACTTTTCTGCCTGGGCTGGCCTCAAACTGTGATCCTCAGATCTCAGCCTCCTGAGTAGCTGGGATGACAGGTGTGAGCCACCAGCACCCGGCTGTTGAAGTCTTTAGATGTAAGAATTTCTGGGTTGCAGTGTGTACAGGGGGTGAGGTGGGGGTCTTTACCTCTGCTCCTTTGGCCTACCACCCCTAATCAATTAGGCTTTCAAGACTGAATTCTGGGGGACCAGACTCTTAAGCATTTACAGTGACTTTGTTGTTGTTGTTGGTCATGGGGCTTGAACTCAGGGCCTGGGTGCTGTCCCTCAACTGTTTTGCTCTGGGCTAACACTCTACCACTTTGAGGCACAGTTCTACTTCTGGTTTTCTGGTGGTTCATTGGAGATAAGAGTCTCATGGATTTTTCCTGCCCTGCCTGGCTTCGAACTGCTGGCTCCAGCTGGCTTCAAACCTGGATCCTCAGATCTCAGCCTCCTGAGTCGCTAGGATGATAGGTGTGTACCACCAGTGTTGGCTTTTACTGTGATTTTGATGTCTAGCCTGCCCTGCTGTGCAGACACAACCAAAGAAGATGGCGAGACCCTTAACATCGGACAGCTCTCAGAACTTTCTAGAAAATCCAATCTTTCCAATGACTATTTCCAAGTTATGTTCTGGTGACAGATCAAGATGCATTGGGTTTCTTAATGGACGTGTTGAATTGAAACCCCTTTGTACAACTACTTAAAACAGTCATAATAAGACATATTTTTGTGATTTATGGAGTTTTGTTTTGTTTTTTACCTGGGCATCGAATTTTCCAGCGTTGTGCAGAAACGTCATGCAAATCCCCTGCAAGCCCCGAATCTCACACGAATTATTCTCAAAACATTCAAAGACGCCACACCCCACATCGCCTGCGTTGACCAAACACCGCTGAATCTCCGCTGCAAGGAAAAAGGACACGGAAGTACATTCAAATATATGCAAATGACATGCAAATATATGCAAAACTCCCATCCACGCTATGACATGCACATAGAAAGTTAGCAAGGGCTGGTGGCTCATGACTTTGTCATCTGAGCTGCACAGGAGACTGAGATCTGAAGATTGAGGTTTGAAGCCAGCTGGAGTCAAGAAAGTCCCTGAGACTCTTTCTTTTTTTTTGTCGGTCGTGGGGCCTGAACTCTGGGCCTGGGCGCTGTCCCTCAGCTCTTCAGCTCAAGGCGAGCGCTCTACCACTTGAGCCACAGCGCCACTTCCGGTTTTCTGGTGGTTTATTGGAGATAGGAGTCTCACGGTCTCTCCTGCCC